CGGCACCGGAGCCGCACAACCTGGGGAAGAACTCCAGCTTCAGGGTGCCGATCTGGAAGTGCAACAAGTGTGCGTAGAAGAACTTCGGTTTCGGGACCACTTGCATGAAGTGCGCTGGGCCTCCGCCAGCGGCCACAGTGGAGCTGCAGAAGGAGACCTTGACAGAGGAGTCGGAGTCGGTCAGCTTGAGCAACGAGCAAGCCTTGTCGTCGGACCCCAGCCTGAAGGAGGTTCTGAAGACGCATGCCACGAAAAAGGAGGAGTCGCCAGCAGACTGGGGCCCGTACCTGGTGGTCGATGGGGTTCTGGACGAAACGCAGGAGACGTTCAATCCATTGGGAGGCGCGATGCGGCTTAACCGCTGGACGTACAACAAGGAGCACCAGAGCATCAAGAACCAGCAGGAGGATATGGTGAACCAGTGCAGCAAGGAGAAGAAGGTGGAGGACCTGCTCAACCAGGTGGACCCAGAGATCTCGGCGTGGCCTGGCCTAGCATCGGCGAGTCGTGCCAGATCGAGTGCTTCACCATCGGGAGCAGCGACGACGTGATCGAGACGTACCAGTACAAGTGCATGGGCAAGATCTTCGCTCATTGGCGGAGGGTGGCGGTGTGCGGAAGCCAGGTCCTCGAAGATGACGCAAAGAAATCGGACATCGACTGGGGGATCATGCTGAACAAGAACCTTTCGAAGGACAGTTCTGGTGCGGGCCAGACCTTCTCTCCTGATGGTCTTTCGGACGCTGATCCGCAGGTCGTCGGTAGCGGCGGCCTCTTCGATGATCCAGAGGTCGGTAGCGACCCCAGGCTTGACCTCCCTGATCTCCCGCCGTTCCCGAAGCTCGGGGTGGACCTGGCCTCTCGGTCTCGGACGTCGCCGAGGCGGCGGCCGACGTCGAGGGCGCCGGCGCTGATCAGGAGCAGTCCCACCCTGGGCCCACAGTTTTGGACTCGGAGTCTGACGCCCGCATGCAGAAGGACTCCGAGGAATGCTTCGACTTCATCTTGCGCTTCCAGGGGGCTTAGGGCCATCTTTCTGACACTGAGCGCCAGAATCTCCTCAAGGAAAGCCTGAAGAAGATCGACGACGGCTAAGCTCGCGGTTGCGTTGGCCAAGGCGTCCTCTTCAAGCTCGCTGGGCATTGGCTCCGCTCCGTATCTCGGCGTTGGTCCGAGGTCACTTCGGCTAGATTTCCGTCGTGCCATCGGTTGCGGCACGGCGCCTCGGTGATGGCCCTAGGCGCGCTCGGCCTGCGCGGCAGGCTCCGTGGACAGCGTGTAATCAGAGACCTCCTCCTCCTCCTCCTCCTCCTCCTCCTGCTCCTGCTCCTCCTCCTCCTCCTCCTCCTCCTGCTCCTCCTCCTCCTCCTCCTCCTCATCCTGCTCCTCCTCTCCCCCTCCCCCTCCTCCTCCTCCTTCCTCCTCCTCCTCCTCCTCCTCTCCTCCTCCTCCTCCTCCTCCTCCTCCTCCTCCTCCTCCTCCTCCTCCTCCTCCCCGTCCTCCCTCAACAGCCCGCCCCATGTCCCGAGCTTGTGGCAGGGTCATCAGCTCGCCTTGTCGTTGTCGCCACGGTCGTCGCCGTGGTCGTCGTCGTGGTGGTCGTCGTCGTCCTTATGGGTCGGCGGCACCGGCCGGAAGGCCTTCACAAAGTCACAAGACAGCGCCAAGATCCCCACCCTCCACGGGAGGGGTCTATGGTCTGAGCCTTGGCCCTTGGCCCTCGATAGGAAAGGTCCAGGGTCTAGGATCTAGGGCCCTTAGCCTTCGATAGGAGGATAGGCCCTCGATAGGAGGGGTCTAGCGTCTAGGGTCCAGGGTCTACGAGATCCTCCGCCTTGGCCCTCGACAGGAGGGGTCCAGGGTCTAGGGCCAGAAATCTCCTCTGAGGCTCGGGGAGGCGTAAGACTCTGACTCGGGGGACTCGGGTTGGCCTGACGGAGCTGGCAGCAGATCACGAGACCCCAGCTGGAAGTTGACGCCAGCTCCCGCTGCAGACATCGCGAACGCTGAAACCGAGTCGTCCAAATTCAGGACGTGCCCGCCGAGAGGCGTCGGCGGACCCGAGTTCTAGAGGGGAACGCGAGGGGAAGGACGCCTCGCCCCCCCGTTAGGTGGCGACATCCGAGCCCCACCCCCGCCCATCGAGGGTAGGGGGGCTCGGCCTTCGCTGCCGATCTTCCCCCTCCTTGCCCTCCCGAGTTCCTCCTCCTCCTCCCTGCCCCCTCCCTCCTCCTCCTCCTCCTCCTCCTCCTCCTCCTCCTCCTCCTCCTCCTCCTCCTCCTCCTCCTCCTCCTCCAGGGACAGCCTCGAACGGGGAGCGCACGCGGGAAGCTCCGAGGCCCCGGGGGGGGGAGGGGGGTGCTGCAGGCTGCCTCGGGCGCCGTGGCCTCCCCACGGCGCGGCGCCGGACACCCGGGCGGCGCCCCGGCAGTCTCCGTGGCGCTCCGTCCCCGTCCTGGCCCCGAGCGGCCCCCCTCCCCGAGGGAGTCCACCGCGGCGGCGGCTCCACGAGAGGGGTGGTGGAACCGAGGGGGCCCCCGGGAGGGGTGAGGACCACAGCCGCCCCAGGTCGGGGGGGGCCCGTCGTGCCGACGGCCTCGAAGGGGGTGCCAAAATCTGGCGCGGTGATGACCACAGCCAACCCCAGATGTGGCTGGCCTGCCTTGGGTTAGGTCGGGCCCGTTCCTCTTCAGGAGGAAGATTCAAAAATAGTCGGAAAAATAGACTGGGGATGATTTTTCGACTATGTTCGATAATTGTCTGAAGATTTCTTAATATTCTTAATTTGTCGTTCAAAACCCGCCTGTAAGGGGGCACGCCCGACTTAAGCCTTGGACTAGTTAAGATGTGGGACCTGCTCTAGAACTGCCCGTAGATGGCTCGCCTTGTGCTGCGCCGAACGCAACGGCCGCGTCTGTCCATAGACGTGCCCACCCCGAATGCGCCTGTGTGTCCAGCGACACCCATTACATCTGCAGTCGCTTGTGACCAAAAAGTGATAGTGGCATTGGGCATAGGCCCGACGTGCTGGCCTTCCAGAACCACATCGACTTTGCCTAGAGGTGGAGAGGGGGCCTGGACTGGTTGGGGCCCCGGAAAATCTGTCAGAAGGGGGGGCGAAAGGGCCCAACATGGTCAAAATCGGCCCCTGGACCCTTCCAGGGGTCCACATCCACTGCAGTGCCTTAGGGGCTAGAGACGGACCAATTCCCAGATCCGTCCGTCACGGTCGTGGAGCCCTTGGCGACGCGCATGAAAGGGGTGGAGGGAGGGTGGGAGGGCTTCTTAGAAGGAGGCTGCTTCTTAGAAGGCGCCGGCCCTACATCTATAGATGAGGCCCGCGCCTTCTAAGGAGCAGGGGTGCTTCTAAGATGCCCTCCCCCCCTCCCCCCCCCCTGCGCGTTGCTGCCCATTACCACCCACCCGAATCGTGTTCGTTATGACAGGGTCGGAGTAGTCGGCCCTTGGGAACCCTCTTGGGACGCACTTGGGATCTGCTCCCGGGCTCTCTCTCGGCGTCTCTCGGGGCCGCCTGGAGGCAGCAGGCTCGGAAACGAACCTCCAATGCAGTAGATGGCCTGACCTGCGGAACGATGAATAAGGAAGCCCCCCTCTGCGCGTGGCTGTGTTTATCACCAGTCGTGGGGCCCGGAAGCGGGCCCCCCGGAGGCGGAGAAGGAAGCACGCGGCCTCCTCCGAAGCCCAAAGCCTGGGTGCTCGCCCGCCCCTCTGCGCCAGCCACGAGCCCCCCGTGCGCCCGCGCGGGGCCACATCGGGCCCTCGCTGCGGTTCCGAGACTTTGCCCGCCAAGCTCCCGGGCCAGGCCAGGCCAAGGGGGGGAGGAGGAGGAGAGGCGCCGCCACCGCCACCACCACCACCTGCAGGGCCACAGCGGATGAGAAGGGTCCAGGATGCCTCCCCCCTGGGCTGGCAGCTGGCAGTGCCTCTCGCGGGGCGCCGAAGAGGCGGGAATGCCACGCCACCGGGGGGAATCGGACGTTCTCTTCAGCGTGCTATGGGGTCTCAGGGGCCCGAGTCGTCAGGCAGCCCGCAGGATCGCGGGGCACGAGACAGGCAGGCTGCACCGCGGCACAAGGGGGGGGGCAACGCCAGACGGGGTACAAGACAGGAAAAAAAAATATCGACAGCATGACCTTGATGGCGCATGTGGCGGGCGCGACTGTTGCTGGCGCCGTGAAGCACGCAGTCCGTTCGCGAACGCCGAGCGGCTCGCGAGCAAGACGAACGCCGATCGCGCGCACGCTAACGTGGATTAGGGATACGCGGATCTGGCGCGCGGGCGACAAATCCACGGATCGGAGCACGCGCCCCCTGTGCATGGCGCCAATTCCGCATCATTCGGCGACGCGGCGCGCCGTGAAGTAGGGAGAACGGGCCCCGTCGCCAACGCACGTGCCCCAATCCATGTCTTCATTTTCTTGGGCGCCCGAGTTATCCGGGGTAACTCGGGTCCGGGGTAACTCGGGTTCGGGTTCCCGAAAAAGCGAACCCGAGTTAACCCTGACCCGAGTTACCCCTGATGATTCGGGGCTCTTGGGCGCCCGAGTTATCCGGGGTAACTCGGGTCCGGGATAACTCGGGTTTGGGTTCCCGAAAAACGAACCCGTGTTATCCCTGACCCGAGTTACCCCTGATGATTCGGGGCTCTGAATCCATGTCATCATTTTCCCGAACCGAGAACGGCTCAAGAGGTCTGCCCTGCGTGAACAGGGACCGACCGTCCCGGCATCTCTAAAGGCCTACCATGATATGGCTTAAGAGCCCCATATGTTTTATATAACGAATACAATGTTGTTAGAACATCGCCCCGATGTGTTAAAACAAGACGGTCCCAGCCAGAAATGTTATGACAACGGCTCGTGGAAACCACGAACGAAATCTTAGAACATTGTTTGGTAGGCCTATAGCGACGCCAAAACGTTTCGTCTGCCCTGCCCCCCCCCCTTCCCGGAGCCCGGGCCGGCCGCCCGCCGCCGCTCCGACACGGGCTGTTCGGGCTCACTGCCGGGCGCCTGGCGTCGCGCTGCCCAGGCTCACCCCCTATAGGCGTGGGCTTTGTGGTGGCGGAGCGACGAGAGGCGAAGGAGGAAGGCGCGAGGAGAAGGAGGACATGGGATGGGGGGGCGGGGACGTTCTCGCCGACGCCTGCAGGTCGAATGCCGCCAGAACGCTATAGCCTAGTTGCTTAAGTCCGCCGATTGGTAAAATGATGCGCGAGTAAGGAATCGATTCGCTTGGCCAAAGCCTAAATGTGCCCGGCACGCCTCACAGCCAAAGCTTTCGCGAGCCAAAACCTTCGCGTGCTCCTCCTTCACCGCTAGCTTGGCTCGGAGGGCATCGGGGCCTACCAGCGGGTGTGCTGACGCAGGCGTCTGCCGCGGCCTAGAAGCAGTAACGTATGCTCTCGCCTCGGCCTTCGTGAGCGGAGCCTCAGGCCCCGCGCGAGAAACAGGGAAGCAATGTCGCGTTTTGGGTGGCCTCTCCTCAAGCCCCTCAAAGCAGCATTGCCAGCACTGTTGCGTTCTCTACCCGTCCTCGGACGCGCGCAGCGGCGCGGCAGTTTGGGCAGCCTGGTTTGGGCATAGCGCCCGCACGACAGACAGACAAACAAAGGCTTTGGGAGAACTCCCACCTGCGAACTGGCCATGACGTGACCATGCTCGGGGGACGGCGCCAGCAAATATGATATCATCTGCGGAGGCCTTCACGGCCGACCTCTGTTCTGGCACCTTTGCCGCCAGCATGCAACTTGCCGCGCCTGGCGCATCGATGGCCCCGCGTACCATTCTCCCTGCGCGTGAAATTCCTCTGCTCGTTTGAAGACCTTCTTGGGGCGGGCCCTACGCGGGGGGGCGCGCGTGCAACTCCCCTGGGAAACGCCGCGACACAACCGCAATGCACCGTGCCACCGGCTCGAGCTTCCCCATCGAACCCCGGGCCACATCCCAATCAGTCTGGGAAGCCCTGGGGCGCGTGAGAATCGCCCGTCGCGCCTCCGAACCGGCGCGTCAGTCGGCTATCGGATGGAGCGCCAGGCTCAAACGACGCATCTAAAACAGCAAAATATCAATAAGCGGGGGCCCATGCAATTGAGGCAGACTTATTTTTCACGATATGCTGCAGGCCCCCCCCCCCCCCCTCCCCAGAGCTCTGCGCACCTTTTGCGATGGAACAGTCGAGCCCAGGGTGGGCAATTATGGAGGGCCGCCGCGTTGACGCAGTCGGCGTGGCATGACCCCCCGTGAACGGGGGCGGAAATGGGTAGGGGCGCCAGCTGCAGCGCCTCCGCAGCCTGACCTGTCTGCTGCAAACTAGGCCACGCAGGGCGCCGCGCCGACGCCGCCCTCTCACCCCCTGGCCCCATGAAGATCCATGAACAGCTGCTCTCGAATGTTCCTTAATAGCACGGTGAAGCAGACAGGATCCAGCCCCTGAAACTCGTGGGCCCGTTGTCGAAAGAGGCTCAGCCCATGGGCTCCCCGCCCCGATGAAGCGAGCCCGGCTTGTGCTGATCCGACGGCGCGGGCCGCGATGCGACAGGGCGCCCCCGCTATGCACCTGCGCAACAACTCGTCGTCGCCCTCCCGCGCCCCCCGAAGTAAACTGTTAGACGCGTCTGCCATTTCGAGGGCCGCGCGCGCCTCGTGGAAATCAAAATAAAAAATCATATGGCGCGCAGAATCAGTCTGGAGGACGCAAGCCACTCGATGAACGCCCCAAAGAAAGCAGACACGACCAAATATGCCACCTGAGCCGCGAGCCCGATTCCATGTACAATTGGGTTGGGTAATGCGCCCGATGGTTTCGACGCGCGCGCGCCCCCCCCCCCCCCCTTCCGGCGCGGTCGCCGGGCCCCCTCGCGGCGTCGTCGGCCACCCCCCCGAAACAGCTGGCTTATCATCGAAGGGGAATTGCGCATCAGGCACAGCTCTACGCCTCCGCTATCCACCGCGCCAAGCGGTCTCGCTGCCTTTCACCCAGCGCGGCGGAAAGAAGGAAACATCCGACTTGAAGGCCCTTCGGCCTTCCCCAACCTCCATCCATTGAGGGCTTCCTGCGACGCGGCCGCCCGCGTGCCTCTCAGCGGGGGCAGCGCGACGTCCGCCTGCGCTGGCGCCGCCGCGGCGCTCCGCGCCACGGAACGCAGCGCGAAGGCAGGCGCGACCACGCTGCGCCGCAAGGGGTCTTCGACCAAGACCGTCGCGGCCGCGCCGACGCTCTGCAATGACGCGGCGCCTGATGGGACATCATGATGCTTCCTTCGGTCACGCCTTGCTTCCGCGCCCGAAAACCCCGCGACCGCGTTCCCGCAGCCGCAGGCCGGCTTCGCCCCGCCGCGGAAAATTCACCGAGTCGAAACCTCTCGCGGCAGGGCCCGACGACAGCGTCTGAGACGCCTATGCCTCCTCGCTGCGTCCGCGGCACAAATCTCACGTTCACCCAGAACGCCTTCTTCGAGGGTCCACGAGCGCCAGGGGCAAGGCCAACTCCGAGCGTCGATCCAACGGCCATCATCTTCTCCGCCCCAAGCCCCACCCCCAGCTCGACCTTGACCACCCCAGCAGAGCCTGCACCGCGCGCCCTGAGGTCGCAATGACGCGGGCGGGGGCCCCGCAAAACCTCGCAGTGCCATCGCCCGCGCAAATAGCGAAGTCAAACAGACAATCGAAGGCTCGAAGCGCATGCACTTTGACGTTGATTTCATTGGAAAACGATCCCGCGGGGAGGCAACTTCTGGCACGCAGCGGCGCCGGGCTGCGGCCCGAGCCCAGCTCGAGGATGCGTGGTCCTCGCCAAAAAACTGAAAGTAACTTTGGCCGCGATCAGGATGGTGCCAGCCTCGAAGCACCTGTCCGCAAGCGAGGTGAATCTGGAGTCCGAACCATCCCACGCGAACCACCCGACAGCCCCTTCTTCGATCACTTTGGCTCGCTTTAACCGCCCGCTTCCGCGCTGAGCTTTCCGCCTCCCCTGCGCCGCAGGCCAAATACTTCCTCGGATGACGCTCGCTGACATGCAGAATCATGGGTGTAAGCAGCTTCTCCCACGGCCAAATATCTGGGGCAGCGCGCAAAAGCGCAGGTCTCAGGACGCCCCCGGGCACTTCGTGCATGGGCGGCAAAGTCCAGCGCAAGGCCCTCGGAATGACTTCTATCTTCTCGACCGCCTGGAACATGCAGCTGCGCGCATCGAAGCCCAGCATCATCCAACAACGAAAAGTGTTTTGCATGGGCTCCGTCCGCGTCGGGGCTGAAGGACCTCCTGGCGCCTGGAATCTCGGCGGGAGTTAACCTGGCTGAGCAATCCCCTTCCAGCGTCTCGACCACCTCTGGGGTCGTGGATGCGCCCCGGAACTCCCCGATGACCCTACCTTGGAAGGCGGGAGAAAGGGTCTGCAACAGGGGGTCTGCAAGCGGGGGCTGGGTGGCCCATGTATGCTGAATATTTCGTTCATGTATGTGGCCGGGTATGCTTGACATCCAGTGTTGGCGGCCATGGAGGGCCAGTCGTTCGTGCCCGGGCGGGCAAACGCGCCGTCCACCCATTATCGTTCATGCGTGCGGGCGTTCTTGCATATTGCACGCGGGGCGGCGAAGTGGAATGCAAGTGTGTTTTGATTGTGTGGTTGATGATCGCGTATGTTCCCAAGCGATGACTTGTCGACCCCTGAGACAGATTTGGAACAGGCCCCACGATTCTCCGAACATGTGAATGCACATGTCCCTTCTCCCATAATGTGACTTCACTTTCTGGCCAGTTCATAATGGCTCCTATATCGAAATTCCAGCATGTGATATCATACTTCTTTTTCCCCAGAAAGGTGAATTCAAATTTTCCCGCATTCCCAAAAAGTGTTGATGCGCATCTTGCGTTTCCATACGATGCGAATTCGCATGTCACCCTGGTCCTCAAGATACCCAGAACTGAGGCGCAGTGTTCCGCATGTCAGACTGGCTGGGCAGATTTTGAAACTCACATCGCCGCCTTCGTTTATTCCAACCTTCTCTTCTTGCGCCCTGAACGCACGTTGCCTTTGTCGCCTCTCCCCCGCCCCCCGCTTCCTTGCGTCGTTGACCCTCAAGTTCCGCGCAGGGGTGCAAGCGGGGAGTTTCAATTTGTTCCCCCGCCGAACAAGGCAATCGAGGATGCGTCGCCCATGCATGGCCCATAAGCCCATAGGGCCACCGCTGCCGGGACCCTGCACCCGACCCGCACAATAACTCTCCAACTAACACCGTGGCTTCGTTGGCGAACAACTTGCGCGGACCGGCCGTGAACATCCAATGACTGATGTTTCTGGTGAGCTTGGGCAAACGTCGGCATGACCCAGCGAGTGTCCCAGCCTGCCAACCATCCCAACTCACCTTAGCACGGTTGTCGAGGTTGGCTCGCGCCTCCTCGAAAACAGCATTCCCATCATCGAGCGCCTTGGTGCAACTATAGGGAACAGGGAAAGGGAAGAGGGAGGAGAAGGAGGAAGAAGACGAGGAGGTGGTTGAAGAGCAGGGGGAGGAGGAGGAGAAGGAGGAGGAGGAGGAGGAGGAGGAAGAGGAGGAAGGAGGACGAGGAGGAGGAAGAGGAGGAGGAAAGGGTAGAGGGGAGGAGGGACGGCGCGCGGCAGCCCCCCGCCCCCCCCCCCCCGCCTTCGCTTTTCTCCGTCTTGTTTGCGTACCGCTTCCCGAAGGGGGGTGGGTGGACGGCGCCCTGTCTTCACCACCCACTGACTACCTACCAGACCACCGCCCAACCCACCCCGACGACCGCGATTTCCCCGAATGTACCGGGTTAAGGTCTAGACGTGGCTTCATGTGATTTGTTAGATGTTACCGCCGAAGGGCCCCCACCCCACTGGACATGAGGGCAAAGCGGGTCCTTCAGGTTGGGTTGGTTTGGTTTGGTGGGTGGTGACCCGCTGCGGCAACGCCCGAGCCCCCTCCCACCCTCGCCCCCGCCGCCCGTTGGGGCAACCAGCAGCAACAACTGTTGCTAGCAGCTGCCCGCTGACTCCTGC